CCTTCCTTCCTTCCTTCCTTCCTTCCTTCCTTCCTTCCTTCCTTCCTCTCTTAATTCCCTTTCTCATTCTCCTTCCTGGTGGCACAGTGGTTAGAAAGCAGCATTGCAGGCTAATTCTGCTGACTGTCAGCAGTTCAATCCTGACCAGCTCAGAGTTGACTCAGCCTTCCATTGCTGTTGCTATCTTCATGGCATTGATGACATATAGAACCATCTCATCCTCTGCTGTTCCCTTCTCCTTTGGCCTTCCCTCTGTGTTCACTTAGTAACACAGTCGTAAAGTGAATCCGGCTCCCCCACTGCTTATCAGAAGGCTGATCACATGACCCCCATCCACGTCATAAATGAGTCCATTGCCAAGCGCCTGAAGTTGGACCATGTGACCACGGGGATGCCACAACGGTGGTAAGTGTGAAAAACAGTCTTCTTTAAATTGCCGGTGTAACTTCAGACGGTCACTAAAGGAACGGTTGTAAGCCGAGGAGTAGCTTTTATCATAATATAACATAAATCCAAAACATTCAGCTGGTGAATAAAAATCTTCTTTGCTTTATGCAGCCAAAGAGTTGGTTTCAAAAATTCTATTGCCTTTTGGGAAATCTTTCTGGTGTCCATGCCAGCAATTAACAAGGGAAAAAGAAAATGGCTGTTTTCCTAGTTCCATTAGCACTTTCTAGAAAAAATAAACTCCAGCTCAGATGTCACAAGCCCCAGGGAGAGAAATTTGCAAAATACACACCCATCTAAGCTGAGCTGTTTGTAAGGTTCACTGCAATGTTATGAGCGTAACGTATCTGCTTTGCTACACTAAAAGCTTGGCCGATTTTTCTTCTCCCTTTGAGAGGGTTTGACTCTCTTTTTCCTCCAAATGAATGTTTATTTTATTTTATTTTATTTATTTGTGTGTGTGTGTGTGTGTGTGTGTGTGTGTGTGTGTGTGTATAGCGTCCTATATGCTAGCGTCCTGTCAGTGTGTGAGATAGTTGAGGGCTCTTGGGAAACTGTAAGAGTATTTGCTGTGTGAGCAAGAAGGAGACAGCAAGGAGCCTGGGCGTGGCTTAGCTCAACTGTTCTGTACTAAAGCTGCTTGGAGCTCTGAAACTAAAACTGAAACTCCTCTGCTTGTGTTTTGCATTTGGAAGAGATTTCTCTTCAGGTGGGGAGGGGGAGTAGAACTCCTTAGCATCAGAGCGTGTTAATAATAATAATAATATAGGAAATGCTCTAAATGCTCTGATGGTCATTTGGAAAAGTCCTTTCTTAGTGAGCCCCTAGAAGCCAAGAGGAACCTATGGGCCAAATTTCAAGTGTGTAGGCTTGACGGTTCTGGAGATTTTGTGATGATGCCTGAGGGGTAATTTCGCTTTTATATACGTATATATGAAATCCCTGTTGTGAACATGTCTGACCAGCGCCTTTCTAAACTGTGAATAAGCACATCCGCTTATTTTGGAACAAACTTTTGCAGCCCTTCAGTCGTGAGAAACTAATGACCGTGACATGATAGTCTCTTTATCAACCCGTCACTTCTTTTTTTAGGGTTTGAATTTCAAAGAAACGGGGTTGCATTTTAAAAAAAGACTTATTTTTTTTTCCCTTAACCGGCCGAGGAACAAAGTGATTTTTTTCCATTATGTTTGTTTGTTTCTTTGTTGGCTTTTTAGCTTGTTCTTCCCATTCGTTCCAGCTGTGCTCAGGTCCTTTCAAATGATCAGAAAGTAAGATAGTCCTCGAATTATGACCGCAATGGAGCCCAACGTGTCTGACGCTAAGTGAGACCGTTGTTAAGTGAACTTTATCCCGCTGTGCTTTGTATTTTCATTCTGTCTTTTCGGCTCTCTGGAGTTTTCGGTTGTGACAGTATCTTCTTATTTTCTAAGCCACCCAGAGTCCGGCCATTGCAGCCCGATATAAAGCTTATAAATAAATAAATGAAATGATCCAAACTCAGCTTTAAATGTGAATCTAGAAGTGGATATGGGTGGTCCTCGAATTACGACAACAATTGAGCCCAAAATTTCTGTTGCTATGCGCGAAATTTGTTAAGTGATTTTCACCCCATTTTACAACCTCTAACTGTTCCCGGGAAGTTGAAATTTTGCACATTCTTTGGTACTGCTTTAGTTATATGATAAGTACCAACCTTCTGCAGATTGGAGATTCTCAGCCATCCGTCCTAGTTGTCCCAAAGGTGATTTTTCAGGAAGGAATCGGACTTTCTTTGTTTTTTTTCTTTGGAAGAGGTTTCACTTCTCATCCAAGAAGCTTCCTCAGTTCTGACTGGATGGTGGGGAATGGAAGGATTTATACTCCTTGCAGAGAGCTGGTCATTTGTATCCTTTTAGAGCAGTGGTCGCCAACCAGTGGGCCAGGGACCACTGGTGGTCCGTGAGAAAATGGTGGTCCGCAGAGAAATGTCACCCCCAAAGCAATGAATCCAGGCTGTGCGGGAACACAAGGCTGCGTTGCTCACATGGCCCATGGGAACACAAGGCTTGTGTTGCTTACATTGCAACACATTGCAAACAACACATTGCTTGCATTGCAAACAACATAAGGTAGTGAGGGGAGGGGGGAAAGAGCGGAGGGGGGAACTTGCCCCACTCGCCCCACGCGCCTGGCCTGGCCACTGGGCTGCTTCTTTCCGCTTCTTTCTTCTTCGGCTTTTGGCTGAACGCAAGGAAAGCAGCCAAAGTCTTTCTTTCTCTCCCCCAAATCCGCCAGAAAGGAGACTTTGGGACCCTGCAAGGCCTCCTGCTCCAAGAGGCTGTGCTGCAAAGACTCATTTCTGGTGGAGTTTGTGGGGGGGAGAGAAAGAAAGACTTCTGCGGCTTCTGCTGCTTTCCTTGCATGAAGCCAAAAGTCAGTCAGTCTCTCTCTCTCTCTCTCTCTCTGCCTGAGAACGGAGCTGGCGATGGTATCCTGCGATCCCAAATAAAGAATGATCGATCAATAGGATGACAGGGTGGGGAATTTCCCTTCAGACTTTTTTGGGGGGATTTTCCCAGGGTCTCTGGTCTGCGAGATTTAAAATTAGGAGTTTGGTGGTCGCTGAGGTCTAAATGGTTGGTGACCCGCTATTTTAGAGGGTTATTGAGGCTACTTGGAGCTTTATCTGTGCCCTCAGGGTCACCTGAATAGTGCAAATGGTTCCTGTAGTCTGCCATTTTTCCCCCTGGGAACCCCTTCCCACTCCCACACCATTCAAGGAGGGTTCATCCCAAATTGTGTAGCTAAAAGTCTGTAGAGATTCTCAGTCATCCAGGTGAGGATTGTCCACCAAAGGTGCTTTTTCAGGAGGCAACTGGACTTTCTTGGTTTTTTTCTTTTGACAGATAAACCTCCAAGTGGTCTCAACGACTCTCTAAAAGGATGCAAACAACCAGCTGTCTGCAAGGAATATAAATCCATTCCCTGTCATCCAGTCGGAGCTGAAGAAGCTCCTTAGATGAGAAGCGAAATGTCTTCAAAATGAAAACAAGAAAGTCCGATTGCCTTCTGAAAAAGGACCCGTGGGACTTCCATCACAGAGTCATTATTTTGAGCCTCTCTTTACAATAATGGCTAATAAATAGGACTTCCTCCAACTCACCCATCAACAGCTGGAAGAGGCCACCCGGCACTGTTATTTCATCAGGCCTGACTCCCTGTAAATTTTGGGAAATGGCTTTGTGTCTTTCGGGGTTCAAGTTTGCTTCAGATTTATTTGCTTTAAATTTATTTCAAACGTAATTGTTGTGTTGTTGAAAAAAAAAATAGGTGGGTGTATATTTGCTTGTGTATATGCACATGTTTTTGTTTAAAAAAAAAAGATCAGTTTGGATAAACCATAAAATATCCCTAAATTATTATATGTTACAGTGGCAGCCAAAATGTTGCATAACATGTCATTATGTTTAAGCTTAGTTTCCTTGTTTTAATAATTGTAATTGTCATTTGCTGGGGGAGGAACAGGATTAACAGGGGAAAAGGCTGAATGCAACCTTCTTATGGAGAAGAAGCGAGGAATATTCACCCCAAATATGCTCACCGTGAGCCTTGGTGGCGCAGTGGTTAGAATGCAGCACTGCGGGCTACTTCTGCTGACTTGCTAGCTGTCTGCAATTTGGCGGTTCGAATCTCACCAGGCTCAAGGTTGACTCAGCTGTTGTGGCCGGCCGGCGGCTGGCGGAGCAGGCAGTAAAGTCAGGCAGTAGTGAGGAGGTTGGGGAGGAACCTGGGCCAGTTCTGGAGGCTGAGGAAGGCTCGGACGAGGGCTCTGCATCGGAGGCAGGGTTGGGGCCAGGGCAGGCTGGCAGTTATCAGCTGCTTTTGGGCTCAGACAGCAGTGAGGCGGGAGAGCTTCTGCGCAGGTTCCCAGCCTGCGCACACACAGAGCTGCCAAAAGGAAGGCACAGTTAAGAGCTCAGGGTCGACGTGGGAGTGGACGATGAATGGCGCCTCCCATCAGGATTAAAAGAGGAGTAAAAATGGAGGGTGGTTTTTTTTTTTTTTTGCAGGAAACAACTCGCTCATTCGTTCGTCCGTTCATTCCAGCCTTGTGCAGATTGGTCTGTATAACTCAGCCCTTCCCTGTCAGCACTGAGTGTGGAACTATTTACCGGGCAGCGTTCCAGGATCGATAAAGTCCTGAGCTCATTAGTCGACCTTCACAAGACTGTTTGCCAAGCTGTTGGCTGACTGTGAATGAAATAAATTCACATTCGTGTAATAAAAGAGGTCCCCCCCCCCCACCGGGACTCAGAATTGATGTAGTGCTTTTTGGGGAGGCTTAGGACAGAATATCAGCCTTCCGTCCTTCCGAGGTCAGTAAAATGAGGACCGAGGTTGTTGGGGGCAATATACTGACTCTGTAAACTGCTTAGAGAGGGCTGGAAACCACTGTGAAGCGGTATATAAGTCTAAGTGTTATAGTGCTATTGCTATTTATTTATTAAATTTATTGTTATTGTTGTTCAGCTGCTAAGTCGTGTCCAACTCTTTGCAGCCCTGTGGACCACAGCATGCCAGGCCCCCCTGTCCTCCCCGTGCTCCAGATTTTGTCCAAATTCATGTTCCTTGTGTCGATGACATTATCTAACCATCTTACCTCTGCCATCCCCTTGGATCCCCTGCAGGATCCAACCTGGGTCGGTTATGGGGAGCAGAGGTTTTGCCTCCGGTGCCCTAATCATCTTTATTCTTCTTCTCTTGGGTCTTTCCAGAGCCTCGGCATCTTTTTTTAATAAGAGTTGAAGTTTGCAAGTCCTAAAGTTGCGAAGGTTTGATCAGACCTTTGATCTTATCTACCACAGGAATCCTTGTCTTTTTCTGTGCGTAGATATAGAGGTCAGCATTTCTCAGACTTGGCAACTTTCAGATATATGGACTTCAACTCCTAGAATTCCCTAGCTAGGAATGCTTAAATTTGCCTTGAAGTTGCTAAGGGGCATCGAGACGATAGATAGATAGATAGATAGATAGATAGATAGATAGATAGATAGAT